AATGTATCAATTAATTGGGTTAACTTTAAAAAATATTACAATAAAAAAAGTACAATAGTCCTCCCTTATCCACAGTTTTACTTTCTGCTGTTTCAGCTACGTGAGGAATGCTGTAGTCCAAAAATATTAAATGGAACATTCCAGAAATAAACAATTTATAAGTTTTAAATCGTGTGCCATTCTGAGTAATGCGATAAAACCTCACTCCTTACTCCAAACGCCGGGACATGAGTCATCCCTTTGTCCAGCATATCCAGCATCCAGCAGTACATATTACCTGCTTGTTAGTCATTTAGTAGCCCTCTTGGTTATCAGAGCAGAAACACACACACACACACACACGCACAAGGTTTGTAACTATCTATTGTTTCAGGCATTCACTGGGGTCTTTCAATGTATCCCCCAAGGATAAAAGAGAACTACTGTATTCAAACATGAAAAAGTATTCCACGTGAAAGCATGAAATCCTGAAGTTATTTTTACAAAGACCTCATTAGTCACGTTTAGAAGTAGAAAAGTGGCTCACGTCTGTAATCCCAGCACTTTGGGAGGCTGAGGGTGGAGGATCCCTTGAGCCCAGGAGTTCAAGATCATCCTGAGCAACATGGCAAGACTCTGTTTCAAAAATAAGTTAATTAATTTTTAAAAAAGGAAACAAAGATAAGAAAATTATATAAAAGTTTCTAATGGTGAATGTGTTTATAAAGATTTTCTGTTTTATGTTAATAAACAGTATTTTAACTCAGTTTTCCTTCCTTAATAAACAGAGAGGCATAAATTCAGAGAACATTTAATGTTGTTAGCTCTTGACTCCTTTCATCACACTTCACCATTTAAATGTGAAAAATGCATATCTTAGTTTTTGTCATTTATATAGAGCTTCTCTTATATTGTGAAATTCTGGGTTTATGATGTTATGTAAAATGGAAATCATTTTTATTTTGACAAATCTATGTACTATTTGAAAAATTTTCAGCTCCCTAAACTGGGTAGTTTTCCTAGAAATTCAGGATTACTTTAGGTGCTGGTTAAGAGATGCCTCTCCATGTCCTCTACTATCTATCCTCTTAGCCCACTAAATGGGCTTAGAATTACATCATTTTGTAAATCTGGGACATGATAACCCAGATGCAAGGATAGTGGCTTACATTCACCTTTATAGGCTTGCTCCCAAGTGTCCTACAGGAGGAATTCTAGGTGTCTTGCGGAGTTTCCAGATCAAAAACAGCTCATGCAGTGAGTGTTTTGACCTACTCACCTGAGTTTAGCTTTTGCCTAGGTTTCCACATGAATATATCTTGCTATCTTGTCGGTGGGTAGAATTTCCATAGCAAAAAGACAATTTACCAAATATAGTCACCACTATCAGATATCTGAAGAATAATTCTATCTAAGCTCTTGTCCACTGTGCCTTGTCTACCTGGAAGTTTCCCCAGTTAAGAGTTTTTTACATTAAGATTGAGTTTTTCTGTGCTCTCTCTACCTAGAACTGCAGCTGAGTCAATCTGCATATCTATCTCACACTTTCTCATCAGTCCTTATCTTCAACTAAGTGCCAGTTTTGCTTTGATGTCAATTAACTGGTCTTGTTGCTCTAAGGTGCTAATAATGCCACTTTCATGTTACAGAAGTCATCACAGAAGGATAATTTACCTCTTAGTAATATGAAAGAAATCCAGAATGCTAATACCATATGTGTAATATATTTTCTTAAATTTTTTTTTTTGTTCCATTAGGCTAAAACAAGTGGGGGAAATTGTCTTCATATTTTTTTTCATAATGATTGGCTAATTCATGGTAGAATATAAAATAAATCAAAGAAACATAAAATAGCTAGGAAAGAACAAAAGAGATGCAATTTAAAAATGTTTAATGACACTTCATCTACCAACACTGTTTCACAAATGTATTAAAGTTAACTCACTTTCTAAATTGTCTTAGACTAGTAATGGGGTTGGGGAAAAAAAAAAACAAAACTCCCTTTCCTTCCCTGGGCTCTAATTTTACTTTTTAGGTACGACTACTGAGGAATTTCTAATTTGGCTCATCACTTCAGTGGGAATTCAGTGCACATAAGGGGCACATATGTAATTGGCAACCTAATTTTTCTGCTTTCATCAAATGGTGCAATGCCAAATCTTCATTGAACTTGCCAGTTAAATGCACTTGGGAACCAAACAGCAGCAAGCATACATGAGATGAAAATGAACAAATTGGAAAGAGTCATTAACTTTCTGTTTTCCTATCACAACAAAAATTGCATCATTGAAAGTGTTGCAAAGTGGGGAATTCTACTTGAAACATTAAACAATCTTAAAAGAGAATAATTTATTTACTTAACTTCTAAAATGCATATAAATGGGGTTTCTAGTGCAGATTTTTTTTTTCAAGAAAAATACAAAATCATTAAAATGAATCAACTTTTTAGAAGTATGTTTTAAGTTATATGCTTCATATGTCTTTCTGGTCTAGTGCGTATGAATTCTAGCCTTTATTTGGAAAGAAAAATTGTTGGAAAATTAAGCAAGAAATGTTGGCTTCATGTAATACCTTAATGAATAAAGGCAATTGACAGATTTTCATGGTTCTCACTAATAATGAATGCAACTGAGAGTGTAAAAATTACAATCAGTTGTGGTTACCAAAAATGCCCTTGAAATACCTGGTCTAATACATAATTTTAAAGTATGCAATAAAGAGTCATAATCAAATCATTGTTATTAATGCCAATTAAATGAGCCAGGACACTGAAAATACCACAAACTTTCTGAATAAGATTGAGTATCATCCTTTTAGGAGGACAGAATCTTTAAAAATGTTTGCTTACAGCTCTCAAACCACCTATTTATTCACTAGATGCAAATGTTCAGTATTATCTCCTCTACAAAATTTCCTTTTACAATGACAGCAGGTTTCTTTCAGAAAGGACTGTGTGGGAAAGTTTTCTTTTTCCATGTATGAGTTCAAGTATGTTAAGACTTTTAAAATCCTTGACCAGCTCTAAAAATGAACATTTCATAAACCACCCTTGCATTGTAATAAGAAGGAGGGAGGTAGAAGAAAAATGCCAAAGGATTGTAGGTCAGCTTATTTCATAAGCAAAAGCTCTAAGGAAACTCTTGAAATTTTTAGCTAAGCCAGGCATTCTGAATGGGAGGCGATATGGACAGTAGAATAAGACAGGTTGAGTTCCAGCTTCATTACTTACTCTTTGTATGATCTTAGGTTATCCGATCACCCTTTCAAAATTTATCTTTCCTGGTGTGTAAAATTGAGGAAATAATAGCTGTCTCACAGGGCACACTATCAATCCCAATATGCTTTGTTAGTCCATTCATTTTTTTCAATGCTTAAAGAAGCTTTAATGGCTTATATTTTTATGTTATTGCTATATTCACACACCTGTCCTAACTTTGCTGTCCTTTCTTTCCAATATCACTTTGTTTTTATCACACTCCCCAATATCTCTTCTTTGTTCGCTCTTGATCACATGCTTAAATCATTATTAGTGGTGGCTAAACTCTGTATGAGAGATTGAAGAATTAGGAGAGAAGAACATCAATGTGAAAGGGTAAAATATATGGAGAATATATAAGGTGCGTATGACAAAACCCTGAAGATGTATAATGGTCATAAGCCATGGAAGAAGATAAGACAGCTAAATTGTCAACCTTGTTGCCTCCTCCGTAGCCTCCTAAATCTTACCTTCCTTTTTTCAGATTTATGAAAAACTTTTCTACATTTGTCTTCCAAAAGCAGAGTTGTCCCCATGCTATAATACACATTGACCACTCAGATTCATTTAAAAAGTATATCTTGCTTTTATCCCCGATATAACATTTCAGAAGTTAGATTATAGCCAGCTAGATTATATAGAGCACACACACACACACACACACACACACACACAAAGAAAAATGTGTAAATCACTTGATTTCCTTAAGTTGTTTCTCAATACCTCAGTGCACCTGATCACACCTTGTAATCTGGGCAGAAGGTAAGGGAGGTGATGCCAGGTGTACAAATTTAATATTGGATCTATTTCTACATGGAAATGTCCTACAATCTACCAGAATGAGTTAAAAAAAAAGATACGCATACGCAAACGGAATTAAATACAGTACATGTGCTGTATTGACTTCTAAAGGCATAAATATACAGGAGTGGAGATAAAGAAGGGGATGAATGGGAAAGAGTTCGGAACTCAGTGTTAACCTGAAAGGAAATGAGGCAGTGCAGCGGAGAGAGGATCAAGGGAAAATAAGTTATGTAGGCAACAGAAGCATGCATCGGAAGTCTTTTCGATCCCGAAACTGGCAAATTTTCTCCAGGGAACCGTCAGTCAAATGATGTCTAATTGACAGCTGGTTTTGCCTGTAATGCCTGTATTGTGTAGGACCTTCTGCGTAGGAACCCAAGTTCCACTCTCGGACACAGTGGCAGTGCTTCCATTATCTTACAGAATTCATTGCTGCAAATGGTTCCTGGGAGGTGTGACCTGCTTAAAGGAAAGAACCAGGTTTCTTTTCTTCTTACTCAGGAAGGAAGACACTTGCCAGGATGTGAATTGGGTGGGTGAGAAGGAAAAGCGGAGACAAAAATCTGGTAATTCCTTCCCTTAGAGGAGGAAAAGAAAGAAGGTAACATTGGAACCTCGGAGAGGAGAAATACAGTGCATTTATTTCCAGTATCCCCGCAGTCACTTCGCTTCTCTTCAGACTCCCCCCACATTCCCTAGTCTTGACCTGCCAATGCACTTGGACTCCACGTAAGCACCGGGATAGGCTGGGGGAAAAGGCCAGGTCAACGCGGTGGGATACTGCGTTCCCTCAAACGAAAACTCAGCGGCGGGCCGGCGGTGGGTGTGCGCGCGGCGATGCGAGAGGATGCGTGCGCGGAGGCCGGCGGACGCCGCGGGCCGGGCGCCGCCCTCCCCGCCGCCCCGCCCCGCCCGCCCCGCTCCGCGTTCTATAAAGGCCGCGCCGGGGCCCGCCCTTCTCACAGCCCGGGAGCGCGGCCTGCCGGGGAGGTGGCCCCGGCGCTCCCCACACAGTCACACTCCGCGCACTCACACACTCGGAAGCGCCTCCCCGCGTCCCTCCCCTGCCCTCCTCTCGCTCTGCTCTCTTCTCCCTCACCACAACTAGTCGCCGACCTGCTGCCAATCCGCCTCCCTCTCTCTCTCAACATGACTGACTGGGAAGCGGCGGCTCCGGCAGAGCAGCTCTGCTGGCGCAGGCAGGAGGAGCAGGAGGATTATTAAATAACGCAGCTCGACTCTGTGAACTGAGAGTGGAGAGAAGGAGCCCAACGGCCGAGAAAGGGAGGGAGGGCGGAGAAGGGGGACCAGGAAGGACACCCCGGTGCCCCGAAGACATAAATCCCCGAGTGCCCGGGAGCAGCCTTAACAAGCGGCACGGAGCCCTCAAGGTAGTAACGCCCCTGGTGCCTCAGCGCCCCCGGGTCGCGCGTCGCGTCGCCGCTGTGCGGGGCTGGCCGCAGGCGGACGCGGGGGATGACCGCCCGGCAGGTGACTGCGCCTCGCCGGGGCCGCCCGGAGCAACGCGCGCCCAGGCCCGGAGCGCCGGCTGCGGGCCCGGCGTGCTCGGCGCAGAGACCTGGCCTTGCGAGCGGGGTGGGAAGGAGGCGGGCGGGCTCACTCGCTACCGGCCCGCGACTCCCGGTGCGCTGCGCGGCCGTTTCCTCCGCGCTCCTGCGTGGTCTGCTGCCTGCGGCCGCGGCGGCCGCTCCAGGGCGATGCGGAGCGGTGGCCAAGGAGGCGAGAGTTGGCGCAGGCTTCTGGTCGCTCCCCTCCCTCGCCGCTCACGTCCCGCAGGTAGGGGCGGCCGGCCAGTGCTGGAGCCCGGGCTGCGGGTGCTGAGGCGGGGACGGCGGCGAAGAGGGGGAAGGGAAGGAGGGGGCGGGGAGCCCGGGTCTCCCGGAGGCGCCGCAGTGCCGGGCCGGGTCCGCCTGTCGCCTCCGCCTGCTAGTCCTCTGGCGCTGGTTTCCTGGATGGGAGGCAAGACCCTGCCCAGAGGCAGCAGTCACAGCAGCGACTTAGAGTGAACCAATTGCTTTGTGGTGGCGTGTCAAGAGCCCGGGTGTGTGTGTGTGTGCGTGTGTGTGTGCGCGCGTGTGTGTGCGTGCGTGCACGCTCCGGACTAACCAGAGGGTTGGTTCACCTGAGTAGGAAGTCAGCCCTGAGCTGAAACCGCATGTGGCCCTCTGGCTGGCCCCTTCGCCTTTTGGCTTGTGTCCCAGGGACTCGTACGCACGGTGCCAGCAAGGGGTAAGGGTGACGGAGGGATTTGTGAATGGTGCTTCTCCGCGCGTGGAGGCTGAGCCGAGCTGATGTCAAGGAGGAGGTATCCAGAGTGAGAAGAAAGGCTATTTATGGCAAAGAGTTGTGAAATTTCTTGGGGTTTCCTTTAGTGTATCCTGAGCTGCTCTCTTTCTCTCTCCTCTCTCTGTCTCAGAATTAGAAGCAATTATGCTCCCCCCTCCTCTCATGGGACCTGGAATATGAGATGAAGTAAAAAAAAAAAAAAAAAAAAAAAAAAAAGAAAAACAAACCAGTTGTATTTTTACAGGTAGAAAAAAATACTTCTTAGAAGTTACAGATTCTTTGCCCTTTAATGTTTTTATGTCCTCTACTCCACTCCTCTTCCCTTTTCAGGCAGTCAGCAGGACTTACAAGTCAGAAAATACCTACTTGGTTTCAACAGTTTTCATTTCTGAAATCTGTACAGTTGAATACCTTCCTATTGAAATGTAACACACAGTCTCCATTCTCTGCCCCCCAAAGGCTATTAAAAATAATGTGTACACGTTTAACATAAAGGTGTTTTTATTAAAAGCCTCAGGGAGAATGGAGGCGTGGACACCTAGGTGGGGGTCAGTTATCATTGGTTCCTTCAAAACTGGTTGTTAAGCGAAGACCTAAAATACTTTGAGTCTAGGCTATAACATAATTGGTTTTGGTTTCTATTTCTGTTTGCTTTATAACAGGTACATGTTCCAGATACGCAACTTGAAACTTGGAGGTGACTTGGGGCAGTGCCTGTCACCGTGCTTATAAAATGAATTTTTTTCTCTTAAAAGTAGCAACCTGTACTTTTATAGGACCATGACTGGATTTGATAGTAGGACAGTGTCCTTAATAGTTCAAACTGATAACTGTAAGAGCGTGCCAGCACGTTTTTCAAACATTGAAATTTTATGTTGTAACCACACTTTAAATAGTTTCACCAAAGAGAGAGAAGTAAATTGGTCAACCTATTGTTAGGGTGATTTGTTTTCATTTAAATTAATTAATCATTTTGATCAAACAAACCAACTGTTGTTTGTATTGTTTTTTCAGCTGAACATAGCTTTCCTTAAGAACTGGTTCATTTGAAAAACAAAGAATTAGGATTTGATATTTATATTTTGTTCGATTTATGTTGATTTGAAATAAATTTTCAACACTGAAGCATGTGCGCAGCTTTAAATATTAGGTTAGAACTCAGATGGGGAACCACACTCTGAGGGTTATTACCTCAACTATCCCAAACTGTGGGAACATAAATAAAATAGAGAACTTAAAAATGTAATTGATGAACTGTATTACTGCAATCATTAAAAGTCCGATTTATATGTATTTTGTTTTTTGACAGTCAAGAGAATCAGCAACTGTTTATTATTTTAAAGATACATTATTTATACAATCGAACCTTAATTTAGATAAAACTAAAAGTAGAAAATGAAAAATTTATTATATTTTTACCATAATAGTTATTCAACCCTTTATTGCATTTTATTACTCATCATGATGCTCATAATAAAAGGCCTACTGTGTGCAAGGTACTACTGCCTAGGCATTGGAAAGGAACGGGAGATTCCTTGTTCCCTGTCCTTCGGAACTTGCTTGCCATGTGGGAGGAAGATGATGCTCATGCTTGAGCATAGAGTTAACAACCCATAACAATAAGAGATTATATGTCTAATGAGTACTACAGGAGTTCAGAGCATGGCAATAACATTTCATACTGGATTTTGTTTGAGAATGCTTTACGGGTAGGTAAGACTTGCTTGGTCTTGATCTTAAAGGATAAGTACCATTAGTACATTGCGGATAAGAAAAATATAAGGGATAGATGCAAGTGTCCTGGAATAATAGTAAAGAAGACATAAGGGAAGATAAGTTTGTTTTGACAAAAATTAAGATTGCTGGATACTTTGCAGAGTGCAGGTTGGGTCTGTTTTGGATGTACATCCTTCCACACATTCTTTTTTTTTTTTTTTTTTTGAGATGGATTTTTGCTGTCACCCAGGCTGCAGTGCAGTGGCACAGTGTCAGCTTACTGCAACCTCTGCTTCCCGGGTTCAAGTGATTCTCCTGTCTCAGCTTCCCGAGTAGCTGAGACTACAGGCGCATACCACCTTGCCCAGATAATTTTTGTATTTTTAGTAGAAGCAGGGTTTCGCCGTGTTGGCCAAACTGGTCTCAAACTCCTTACCTCAGGTGATCCACCTGCCTTGGTGTCCCAAGTGCTGGGATTATAGTCGTGAGCTACCGTGCTCGGCCTATATTGCCTTTTAACAGACAATATGTACTTGTATTACTGCAATAGTACAATAGAGTTCTCATAGAGAATATGTGCTTTAAAAATGTAAGTATATCCACGTCTCACTAATGTGTTGAGTCAAAGTGGTGCACATGCAACCTCTTGTAGTGAGGTGTTTTTGGTGTTTCCTTAAGCAAATCTTTTTAGGTTTTCTCTAAAGAAGTGTGATGATGTGTAAAATAATAAAAATATTAATAGTGAGCATTCATTGAATACTTAACATTTTATTCTTCATATAAAATGTGTAGTCAAATAATATATTTTCTATAATGTTTTATTTTAAAGTTGTTAGATTTATTGAACCCATTAGATTAGGTTTTATTTAAAGTTATTGTATGCATCCACATAATAGTTAACTATCGCTACGTTATTTGTCATGAACATAGAGCTATGATACAGAGCTTGTGGTGAACGTTTTATAATTTCAGCAACAATTTTATGGCTATTCAATAATAACAATTCTCTATTCTAAACTTAATTGATTTTTCTTTGTGTATATATGTTTATTTTAGACAAACTGTGTCTTTGTGCATGTATGTTTATTTTAGACAAACTGTTTAAAATGCATTTCTTTATTTTAAGAATAAAGGGGAAACATGATTTGACTTTGAGCCTGTCTGTTCAATATGACACCCAGAAGTATGTTGTGGTGACAGTAAAGAAATTGCACAAATATTAGACATGGCTTTCAATAAATAACCAAATGGAATTACTTTCAGATTAGTTGAATTAAAATATTTTCATATATATATATTTTGTTGACAGCGAATAGATAAGTGTTATTACAAAAGTGAAAAGCTACTAAATCACCAGTTTTATATTCATGCAAGAATGGAGTGATTCCCCATGTAGTTAGGGTACAAACCAGACTATCTGTTAATTGGTGCCTTTTGAGTTTGGTTTTGGACTATATGTCACAGGTGTATCATTTTGATAATGTAATCTCATCCACTCTATGACTGACAGCTTCTGCATGATTTCCCTATTGGATAGTGACAAAATCTGTTTGCTTTATAGTGAGTACATACGCTTCTATCAGCAATATTATCTTCCCTGTGCAAGAGTGTCAGTTAACAATAAAACATCAAGTCTGGGGTGGAAGAAGCAGTGAAAAAAGATGGGGAGATTGAGGAGAAAACACCATAACAAAAGGAACATGTTTTACTATGAAGCTTAAACTGAATATTAAAATGTAAAGCTGACCATTCTCAACTGCAATACATTACCAAGATACTGTTATCAGTCTGCTTATAAACAACCATATTGCATTTTAAGTTGTTGCCATGCAGGCTACATTTTTTACAAAGTGTTTGTTGGAAATGTTTACTGAGGTTTTCGGCATATTAAAAATTGTTAAAATATTTTTGCTTAGATCATTAATGAAGTTATTTGCCAAATTCCTGGCCCTATACCTAGGTTAGCTTAAAACACGGCTTTTGGTTTTGCATCATTTACACTGCATTAACTCTTCTAAAATATTAAACTTGATTAAAATTTTTGAATTTTTAAATTGTGCTTTGATACTAAATACAGTCCAAAGGACTTTTATAAAGAAACACTTTATTATCTAATGACAATTCTTAACCTAGAGTAGTGGTTTTCAAAATGCGGTTCCCTAAGCAGCAGCAGCAACTACAAAAACTTGTTAAAATGCCTGGGTGCGGTGGCTCAAGCCTGTAATCCCAGCACTTTGGGAGGCCGAGGCGGGTGGATCACGAGGTCAAGAGATCGAGACCATCCTGGTCAACATGGTGAAACCCCATCTCTACTAAAAATACAAAAAATTAGGTGGACATGGTGGCGCGTGCCTGTAGTCCCAGCTAC